GGCTTTCCCCGTCTCCTGGTCGTTCTCTGAGGGGCCAGCCCAGTTCCAGGGCCCACATGGGATCTGCGCTGGTGGGCGAGGCTGGGACCCCTGAGCTCTGACGAGGGCCAGGGCCGATGAACAGTGAGCCCTCAGGGCATCTCTATGAGGCCACGGGGCTCGGCAGTCAGTGGCCAGGGGCAGGGACCAGCTGCGGGCAGCCACACGTGCTCCTCCCAACTCCCCACCAGTCCCACCAGCCGTGTGTGCCGCGTGTGTGCGGTGGGTCTGAACACCTTCACGCCATTCAGAGGCTGCCGAGTGCCCTTTGGGAATCTCGGGCATGCCCTCCATGCAGGGGAGACCCTACTCGGGGGTGGGAGGGTGGCCCTCCCAGCGCCCTGCCAGGAAATGCGAGGCGAGGGCCCCTGATGTCAGGAAACAGTCTTTATTCAAGTGCGGGGAGATGGGTCATGTGACAATGCCAAGGTGAGGTGTCCGAGCCTGCTCTCCTTTATCCACCTGACCTGCCTGACCTGTCCGGGGCAGCCTCGGCCTGCGGGGCAGGCGGGGGTGTGGGCGCCTGTACCCCGGGGACAGCAGGTCCGAGGTATTTCATATCCACTGTCCTGGGGCTCCTGGGCCTGGGGTGCACGGCCCTCCTGCAGGTGGCCCTGTGGGCGCTGTGGGCACACCATCTGCACGCAGACAACCCCCGACCAGCAGGAAGTGGATTTATCGCAGAGACTTGTAACTCACCCATGAGAGTGGGTCCCAGGACTGGGTGCCCAAGAGGAAAGCTTGCTGAAAGGAGATGCCTCTCCCCACGTCCTGCTGCATCCAGCAGCTGAAGGCACGTCTGTGCGGAGGGGTTGGCCAGCGTTGGAGCCGAAAGGCCTGGTGGACAAAGCCCCGCTTGGCCCGCTGAACCACCGGGCGTGGCCCCCACGCGGGGTGGAGGGCCTGCAGGGCTCTGGTCTCAGACGCAGTTGTCAGGGACGCACTCGGCCTCCTCTTCGAGCTCCGGGCAGGGTGCCCCGTGGTTGGCAGGCTGCACGCGGACATAGCGAGTCCTGCTCTTCGCTCCCAGCTTCCCGCATGGACCTGCACACAGCCCCCAGGACGACCACAGAGAGACCTCACAATCCAGCGGAGTTTCTGGAACTGGACCAAGCACAAGAGAGGCCTGTGAGCATGTGTGTATTCCTTGTGTGAGACAGGCCCACACTCCGAGTCAGGAGGGAGCACTGGATTTATCAGTGCGCTTTAGAGCCGGCTGCAAGACCACCAATCACGCCTCGGCAACACCCCACCGAGACGCCTGGAGGGAACATTTCCATGCTTGGAGCCCCTGCATCGCCTGCATCAGGGACCCTGGGAGACATCTGGCAGTGGGGAGTGGGAGCACAAGGCCCCTGGAGGCAGGGAAGGGTCCCACTGCTGAGAAACCCGCCCTGATGCAGCCAGGCTTGCAGGGGGCTCTGTGTTTCAGACCGTGGTGGGAGTGCCCCTCCCCCCCCCGGCTCATGGCAGGGTGGGGTGGGGGGCACGGAGGGATCCGTTCAGTGGTGTCCTGCCCGTCGGCTGTGACACAGGCCACACGCGGGGACGCCACTGACAGGGGCCTGGTTTACCACTCACTTCTGGACAAATGTACAAGAGCTAACTGTTCAGTCAGCCAAATCCCAAATCTCTCCGAACACCCATCGTCCTGCACCAAGTGCTCTGAACCCCCAGGACCCCCAGTATCCTGCTAGAGGGCACATCACACGCAGGAGCCTGGCTTTGGATGGAGCACCTTCCCCAGCTCTGCCACCTCGGCTCAACGTGGGACTCCCCTGGGGGGCATCATCGGGGTGGACAGACAAGGCCTGGTCCCTGGACCACTGGCCCTCGTGGGGAGCAGGTGACCAGTGTGGCCTTGGAAAGTGGAGTGTGTTGAGGTGTCATTGACACTTCAAAGACGGTCCCTTTGGGGCAGTTTCTGGCCCGGAGTGTCCTTTCCTGCTTCAACGTGGTGGCCACTCACCATTAAGGATTTTTGTAAGGATGGGACAGAAGGGCCTCACACACGGGGGTCAGTATTGACAGCTGCCCTGCCACGGGTCCCTGTGTGGCCCGCAAACCTGGGTGGCGCTTCTACCCCCTGCAGCCCACGGGGCGTCCCGGATGGCGATGGCGGTGCCACGGGCGGGAGCCTGCAGTGGTCCTAGCGGCGGGGCGGCAACGCGCTCACCTGAGAGGCTGTCCATGATCTCATTGCCCCCGCCGGCGCCCGCGGGGCCTGGGGCGGGCAGGACGAAGGCCCTGGGGTTCTGCTGGAGTCGCACCAGGGTCACTCTGGCGATGGGGGGCAGGGACTTCAGCCGGGGGTAGTAGAAGGAGTTTGCGGGGTGGCTGGGAGAGGAGGAAGTTATCTGCGGAGGGAGCAGTGGTGTGGGCGGCGGCCGGCCAGAGGACACCCAGCCGCCTGCGTGCGCTTGCGGGAGGGGGGGTGGGGCCTCGGGGTGGGGCCATGCGGTGGGGTCTCGGGGTGGGGCCGCGGGGTGGGGCCTCGGGGTGCGGTCTAGGGGTGGGGCCTCGGGGTAGGGTCTCGGGGTGGGGCCGTGCTGTGGGGCCTCCGGGTGGGGCCTCGGGGTGGGGCCCGGGCAGTTCAGGGCTCCCCACCCCCCAGGGTCCCGCAGGCTCCTGGGGCACGCGGCCCAAGGTCTGGGAAACAGAGCAGGAAGGGTCAGGCTTCTGGGTGGCGGCCTGGGCCCTCCTCCCCAAAGAGCAGCCGCCTGCAGACAGGCGTCTTGTGGTCAGGGATGAGGCTGCGCACCGGCCCAAGAGCCACCTGGTGGAGGGCTCTCATCCCCCACCTCCGTCACCCCCTCACCTCCGTCACCGTGTCCTGCGGGATGGTCGCGAAGTTGGGGGAGGAGAAGGTAAAGCCGCTGTCGGTCCCGGCGTCGTAAGGGTAAAGGTCCACAGCAACCTGCTCCCTCCAGCGGTCCCCATCGCACAGGTCCAGGCTGTCCACGCCCACAAACCAGTCCGGGCTGGGGACGATGCGGACCACAAAGGACACCTGGGGGGAGGGCGGGTGCTCAGCCCGGCAGCCGGCGGCCCAGCCCCTTCCCCCCACCGCTGCCTGGGCTCACCAGCGAGTGCCGCGAGTGGACCTCCAGCTCCGCGGACGTCTGCCCGGTGCCGCTGGGCACGGCGGGCGCCGAGAACACCTCGTGCACGCTCTGCAGCTTCTCCCCGGCCGCCTGCATCTCCCGCATCAGGGCCCAGGCCTCGCCCCGCTCAGCAAAGTCCCTGAGCCCGTCGCTGACGTACTGGTTCTTCCTCCACAAGCTGTAGTCGGAGCTGTGCGCTGCCCCTGTGCGGGAGGCCGGAGTGTGAGCCGCCGCGCGAGGGAGCGCACATCCACGGCGCCCCGGGGGCAGGGCCCAAGCACAGCAGGACGTGCTCCGCAGATATTTCTGGTGCTGCAGGGAACTGGGATGAGCGTGCCCACCCTGCACACCGGGAAGTGTGGTGGAGCTCTTGAGGGGGGTGGTCACTGCCGGATCGGAGGGACCGGGCAGCGGGGCTGTACTTACCCAGCAGGGAGGACCACTGTGCAGGGGGCCGGAACAGGGGGTACTGCTTGGGGAAGGCTGTCTGGCTCCACTTGCCCGTGAAGGTGATGCTGTACTTGGCCAGCGGCCGGTCCGTGCAGACAGACTCTCCCCCCAGCGGCTGGCTGGCCACAGAGCCAAGTGTGGTCAGGAGGAGGGCCCAGAGGGCCCTGGCCCAGGTGGTGGTGTGACTTGGGGCTCCCATGACCTAGGATCAGAGGGAGAGCTCCACCAGCTGACACCCCTGGTCCCTGGGCGGGGGAGAGGGGCAGGGGCCTCCCGGAGAGTGCGTCACCTCCCACACATCCCTTCGCACTCCTACCTCCATCAGGCTCAGGGGGACCCCTGTCCTGCCCCCAAAAGCCAAGCCGTGTCAGGTTACACTTGGATCCCAAGCCCAGCAGATTCGGAGCCCTGGCTTGGTCTCAGCGTGCCCGGGGCAGCATCCCTGAGTCCCGGGAACCTGGAGGGTACACTTCAGGCTCGCTGTGCCCGGGATGACGCGAGCAAACGCAGGCCTCCCTCTTGGGGTGCTGCGGGCTGCTGGGCCTGGGAAAGTGCCGGGAGGCCCAGCGCCTCCGGATGGGGACAGGGGCGCACACGCGCGTACTCACCCAGCAGGAGCGGCAGGAGGGCTGGCGGCTGGGCTGTGGGCAGCAGATGGTCCCTGAGGGAGCCCAGAGCTCCAATTTATGCCCAGGACAGCCCCCCGGCCGGCCACGGCCGCTGCAGAGAGCCGAAGCTCGGATGGGGAGCGGGAGAGAAGGGGCTTCTCCAGTGCAGTCCGCCCTCGCTCTGCGCTGAGCAGATGCTTCTCTGGCGCTGAGGTCACTCTCCTCCCTCGGGCGCCTGCCACTTGCCGCACCCCTTTCTTTGTCTTTCCCTCCCGACTCCCCGCCCTCGGCTCCTCTCCCTGCCGCTCCCCCTTCCCAACAAACCCGTCTTAGTGTCTTCCAGGAGGTACTGTCGCAGTCTCAGCTAGGAGGGGAGCTGGGCTGGGGAGCACCAGCGTGTTACACCCTCTGGGCAGGGTGGGACCCCGGGGGCCACATTCCTGGCCTGACGCTACTCCAAGTGTTGGAGAGGAGCTGGAGAAGTGGGGGTTCCCAGTTCAGGCATCCCTGGCCTTGGGGCGCTGGGTTTTGGCACACACAGCCTGTCAGCGTGCACAGAGCCGCCTCCACAGGGCTGGCCAGGGCATCCCGAGGCTGTCCCTCCAGAGGGGAGCCAGAACCACTAGGGTAGAGTTGTCCCAGCTCCAGAAAGACTCACTGGGGCAGGGAGGTGGCCCAGGGCCCCCACCCCACTTCCCTCCGTGGGGTAGAGCTCCACGGACGCCTGGCACGCAGGGAAAGAACATGACCAAAGCTGGTCACTGCTCACGGTCAGGAAAATATTTCTAGAACCCTAATCGTGGGGTCTGGGAACAGAAGGGAAGCTCTTACTTATCAGAACTGCCCAGGGAGCTTTCAAGCTTAAACAGAAAGCATTATGATTTTTGGAACTGTTAACATTCCAGCGCGGTTGGGGGGTGGGGCTGGGGGAGAGGGGCAGAATAAATAGAATCAACAGGAATAGAATGCAAACAAAAACAAATGACCTGAGCTGTATTTCAGATACATCCCGCAGCCGCAGCCGCAAGAGCAGCCTGCATATAGATGGCAGGTCCTCAGGCTGAACACATCCTCACGCGGGGGTTTCAAACTTTTTGGTCTCAGGACCCCCGACACCCTTAGAAATCATTGAGAGCCCCAAAGAGCTTTTGTGTGTGTGGGTTATAGCTGTCAATACTTACCATATTTGAAATCCTAACAGAAACGTTCAGAATACATATTAACTCACAAATGAAAATACGTTCACATAAATAGCATAATGTTTCATGAAAAACAACTACATTTTTCAAAAAGAGTGGTCTGGTTCTACATTTGCACAGATCTCTCTCTGCCTGGCTTTGTGGGCAGACAGCTGGGCCTCCGTGTGTGACCCCACGTGGCGGGTGGGAGGTGCAGTGCTGGCTGGCGTCTATGCAGAGCCCAGCCCCGGCGAGGACAGGCCTTGTGGCCTCTGGAAAAGTCCCGCACCTGTGAGAGAGAATGTGAGCAGAAAAGGCAGGTGCTCTCTGTGCACCTGTGTCTTGTTCTCCTTGAGAAGCAGTGGCCTTTTTCGGGGAGAGAAAGCAGGAGATGGGCCCAGGGCTGAGTTGCAGCCGGCTCTCTTGCTGTGGTTTGCTCACGCACTGTTCAGTGGTGGCCGTGGCCTCAGGCTTGCCCCATTTTACAGGGGGCTCTGGTCCCAGCACCCGCACACCCATGTGGAAAGCCTCTGCAGCTCAAGGATCCTGGGGAGGGAGGGTGTGATGTGAGGCCACTGGAGCCCCAGGCCTAGAGCCCTGGGGCAGGGCCCCCCCCCCAGCTTCCTTGCCTGGGCTCCCCTGGGAGGGGCTCCACTCCCTTTGGTGGTGGACAGCCCCCCAAGGGCATGCCTGGTGGGATTCTTGGGACACAATGGGACCTGGGAAGGGGCACAGGGGGAGGCCAGGATAGGCGACCTGTGGCCCCCTGGCCTGGGTTGGGCCTCAGGTGGGGACCCGGCCAGTAGAGAGTCTGCTCAGCTGCAGACATAGTTCTGCCAGGTCCTGCCTCCCTTCGAGAATCACAGAATCATATGAGGTGGCTTCGAGGAGCTTTTTCACGGAGACCCCCACCTACAGAGGTCCTGCCCTACTTAGGCAGCCCTCCTTGGCCCCCCGCCCCCGCCAAAGGAAAGCCACCATTCATTAACCCTGGATAAGTACCTCCAGCATCTCAGTGCTGGGGACCCAGAAGTGAGCCTGACCACCAAGCCCTACTCCTCCGGATGTGGGGGAGGGGCTGGGCAGACAGGATACATTCTGTAGGTTAGATTCTATTATTCAGCAAGTGCTTCATTAATTGCTTGACCCTAATTCCAAGGTCCCTTCCTGGAAGTCACTTCTTGATTAGTCACTCCTCAACTGGTTTCAGGGCAAATGGGGCTCAGGACTGTGGTTGCCGGTCAGGCCTCCACACCCCTACACTCCCTGTCTGCACCCCCATCCTGTCTGCCCCCCACGCTCTCTGCACCCCCACCCTCCTGCACACCCTGTGCTCTCTGTAGACCCCCATTGCCCCAGTGGCAGAGCAGTCCTGTCTGCCCCTCCACTCTAAATGGCTGCAGCAAGCACCCCTCAAATTAGTATCGAGTACAGGAGGAGTAATTGATGGGCTGACCTCCTCGCTGCGGTTGGGCAGCTGTGAAGTCCTTTCCATCTAGTGTGAGGGGTGGGGTTTGTGGGCTCACACTGGCCCTTGAGGGCTGTGTGGGATTTTCAGAAGTCTGTGTTTGTGGGTTGCTGAGAATAGGCCTGGCAGGCAAGGGAGTGCTGGGTCAGCTCTGCGCCCTCATCCTCTGCCCCCCCGGGCTGTGTCCCTGTCCCCGGATCCCAGAGCCCAGGATGCCCCCGCGGGGTGCTGGGGGCCCTTGAGGTCTGGTGTAACAAGGGTCCTTTCAGAGCCCTCACCCGGGGACAGGCTGTCTCAGGCGCCGGTGTCTGGCTCCCCAGGGGGATCCCGCCAGTCACACAGGCACACGTTTGTCTGCTCACTTGCCCACTCACCAGACATTGACCAAGGGCCCCGTTCCTGCCAGACACCACAGACTCTGCACACACACCCTTTCCAATGGCCGCCTCCTGAAGGGCTGAATATTCCAGCAACACCCTGGCAGTCCAGGGGTTCTCCCCGCCCTGCTGTCCCAGCACCCCTCCCTGTGCCCAGACGCTCCCCGCCTGTTCCGCCCCAGGGCCTTTGCACTGGCAGCTCCCTGTACATCCCTGTGTGTCCGTCTCAGAGAGCACCTCCTGACCGCTTGGCCCAGAGGAGCCCCGTCTTGCCCTGTCTTGTCATGGCTTTGTTTTCAGTCAGGGCTCCTGCAGAGCATCTGACTAATGTAAGCAGGGTGTGGCTTCCAGAGCCGTTAAGAAGGCTGTTGCTGGCTTCCAAGAATGACTTCCAGGACTGTGCGCAGCATGGCTGCTGACCAGGGGCTGGCCCCACCTGCCCGGCCCCACCTGCCTCCCTCGCACCCACTGAGCTCTGCTCTGGATCCAGGTTTCTCCGAGCCCTTCTGATATGTGGAGCCTGAACTGGTCTGGGAATCCTGGGTCCCGGGTTTAGCTTTGCGGCCTCTGCAGTCCAAGAAGGCACGAGGAGGGGCAGTGCTAGCCAGCTGAGCCCCACACCCACAGCTCCGCGCCTGCCCTTCTGTCTTGTTGGGCCAACGCCCAGTGGGGGCCTTGCCCAGTGGGCTTCCCCCTGCAGGCAGCCCCCTGTGACCATGCCTGACTTGCAGAGGGGCCTGCGAGCCCAGGACTCTCGGCGGGCGTCATAGCCACACTGCTGGGCCCACTTTGTTGGGGGGTGGGGCCACGGCGGCTGAGGGGCAGGTCTGGGAGGAGACCCACTTCCATCTGGCTATAGATACAGATTTTACCTACTCTGGGGAACGATCTGCCTCCCATGAACACGGGCCTCTGCTCTCAGTGTTTGCCATGGTGTCTTCATCCAAATTAAGATGGCAGAGTGAGGACCTCTGGAAATGCTCTCCTTTGTAAAAGCAGTGAGAAAACAGGCAAAAATGGCTGGCACGGACCTTTTCAGCACCAGGAAATTAACCAAGCTGTAGCAGGCTTTGGCGAGTTTCTTGTTTTTTGTTGTAATCCAGAAAATTGGCTGCATCTTGGTAAGAACAGCAAGCCATAAGGTGTTTTGTTTGTTACTGTCTTGACCCTTTTTAAGTGCACAGCTCAGTGGTATTACACACGTTCACATTGCTGAATGGCCATCACCACCGTCCATCCCAGGACTCACTCCTCCTGTGAATCTGAACCTCGGTGTCCACCCAGGAATCAGTCCCTGGTCCCGCTCCTCCCAGCACCTGGCAGCCCCGTCTGTCTCTGTGATTTTGGCTACTCTAAGTACCTCATCCAAGTGGCATCCTACAGGTCTTGTCCTTCTGTGGCTGGCTCCTTTCACTGAGCACAGTGTCCTCAAGGCTCACCATGTGGTGGCAGGTGGCAGATGGTCCTTCCTGTTTCAGGCTGAACACACACACACACACACACACACACACACACACGTAGTCCATTCATCCGTCAATGGACACCTGGGTTTGCTCCTGTGCTTTAGCTGC